GGTATTCGCAGTGCCTCCGCAACGTATCCCAGGATGACAAAAACGCATAAAAGGAGCGCCAGAACAGCTTGTACCGAGGCAACAAAATGAAACCATGTCGGATAATTGGTGGCATCTCTTAATTCATTAGCAGTTATGAGTTACCCAAAAAACCTTTGTTCAGATTTTACCCTGTTCCATTAGTCGGTAAAGTGGCATGTCTGAGAGTGGAAGCGCTTAAGATAGGGGGTGTGACATTAATGACATCTGGAAGCGACTAAAGCTTTGCTAAGCGTTCATATCAGAAAAACCGCTGAGCCGGTAATCTTCCCGGTAAGCTAACCACCAAGCGATGCAGCATGGTGAAAGCGGTCTGAAAAATTGCCACATAACTGTTCAGAACATGCTGGGTAGGAGGCTGTACTGATGATTCCCGCTTCTATTCGCACACGTTGCTCGGTCTGTGTTTACAGCTAAGGGATGAAACACAGAGACTAACTACATCGTAAAACTTCCTTCGGCACATGACACTTAAGATCAATCCTTCCATTCTACTATTTTGCCACATGCATAGTTGGCGGAGCACACGGTGAAATGAACATGGGAAGTAGAATCAATAAAAAAAGTGTAGCCAAAGTGACAAGTAGTGCAGATTCATTGACAAAATTTCCGCACTATCAGTGATCCACTCATTAAAAGTTGCATGAGAATTAAGGTGGAAGCATCTGGGGCTTTACTTTGTGCGCCATTATCAACTCACATTGAAATAAGTTAACAAATCGTAGAGATAACTGATTTCACAGTGCAAGTCTTGCACGGCTGACTGTAATACCTACGGCCACAAGCCGACCACGAGTTAATCTGACAAAAATTAAGATAACAGGCTCGGATCAAAATCAAAGAAACAATTTACGAATAAGTAGCACTGGCTTCCACGTCGCCAAAAATAGACGTCGACTTCGGCATTTTGACCGTAATGACATTTTCGGCTGTTTTTCAGTTATTTATACTTCCATGCTCATGCAAATTTTGAATTACAACTTTGATTATGTGCTTTTGCATATTTATGCAAATGCAAAAACTAATTTGACAAGAAATTTTTGGTATGTATTTGCGTGTGTGTGTGCATATGCGTGTGTGTATATGTGTGTGTATATGTGTGTATGCGTATGTGTGTGTATATGTGTGTGCGTTGTGTGTTTAGATTTTTGTCATTCACCTTCAACTCAACAACCGCTAAAACTAGAACGTCGAAATTTCATGAGAATGCTCCACAGTCCATATGCGGATCCCGACAACACAAAAACAACATTTAAATATGCCTGGGTCTTGCGTTCGGACATCTAAACAATAACTGGCCAACGCTCGGGCTGCCAGTGCGAAGATGTGTTTTTTCATAGTTCTCCGCAGTTTTTGTCGCTACTGGCACCAGTTTTTTCGGCAAATGCTTCTAGTTAAACAAATTAAGACTGACCACCAGAACTGTCAGGAAACACCCCCTTAAAATTTCAGCTTTCAAGCTTTCCTGGCTTCTGGATTAGCGACTTACTCGAAAAAAACTTTCACGAAACCATACGTGGGTAAGTACCACGAACACCCGAGGGCTGGGTTTGAGCTCATGAGTGCCAAATTTGACTGGGAACATTCTCCCAAGATTTCAGCATCCTAGCTTCTCAGATCCTCGAGTTATGAACCTACCTGAAAAAAATTTTGGCGGGATCGTACGCAAATACCACGCTTACCTGGGTGCCGGTTTTGAGCTCATTAATATCTACTTGGACGTGGAACATTCCTTTAAAATCTCAGCCCCCAAGCAATTCTGGTTCTCGAGTTAGCAGCTTACCCGCAAAAAACTTTGGCGGGCTCTTACGTGGGTACCATGCGGGTGATGGCACCCATTTTGGAGATTAAGGCCAGTGCATGTAGATTAAGTTTCCAAAGTTTCAGCCCTGTAGCTTTTGCAGGTTTTGAGATGAAAAAGCGTGACAGACGCACGCACGAAACACAGACGTACACACAGACAACCGCTCGTCAATGTGCGTTTTCTGCATTGCACAGCTGCCAAAAACGCATAAAAACAGGCAAATGATTTCGGGAACCAAAGAGAAAATGAAGCTAAAACTTCGCACGGGTTGTTAGGTTGGCGCTTGTTATATATCAAATAGACAACATCCGATGCCTTCGTCTCTTGTAGTTAGTGAATACGAAGAGATTTTCGGCAGTTAAATTTAAAATTGAGTCGACGTCAATTAATGCCGAGTACCACCGCATCATACCGTCTAAGTCATCAGGAGTTCTTGATTAAGATGTGAGTTCGAGTAGAAAATTTTGTTCCCATTAGATAGCCCGATCTCGGTTTCTAACACATCAGAAGGTTTCAAGCGTCCGCCACGTGGAAAGACACATTACGCAGAATAAATTTTATTCAACACATAAATTACAAATCACATGAATTGAGCATAAATGCTGAAAATGGGAATTGACGAAGACATAAATGAATTGATAGGACTGAGAAGTCTTGGAGGAATTATTAGCACAAGCAAGTAGATTTTTGACAATTTTAATTGTAACAAAATTACAGTAAATCATTGGGGATGACAAACTCTAGTGATTAAAAAATGGTCCGTATTTTTTTCAAAAAATGTTAGAAATTTTTATAAAAAAGTTCATATTTTTCCAAAAAATGTTAAAAATTTGTATAAAATTTTTATATCTTTAAACATAAATAGGATTTTGACATCTTTTCATATTTTTTATCAAAAATTTGATGTTCGTCTGGAAGAAATAACTAAAAAAGTTAAATTGGTTTTCCTAAAACTGCATTTTTGGAGAACTCCTGATTACGCCACTGCAAAGACAATAGTCTACTTTCTTTTAAAGAATAACAGAATATTTTCAAAGAACAACAAAATATTTTTAAAGAACAACAAAATATTATTAAAGAACAACAGAATATTTTTCCGTAGATGAATGGATTGCTTAAGTTCATGTGTACACCTGCAAGAGCGATGGTGAATACACCAGAATAGTTACCGGGAATAGCAATGGTGCAAGTGGACCTTCATCATGCAGAATTCAAAGATGCATTTTGCTTTCATAAGCTGATGATCATTTCTAGCGGTCTTATTACTGATATTTTTTGGAGAATTGCCGGATTTTGCGAAACTTTATAGTAGCCATTGGTGTCCACCCAGCCACTATTGCACTCGCCCGGTAAGATATGAGTGTATAGTCGGTGAATATTTATTCCTCGGTAACTGAAAGTATCACACAAAAGTTAGTGTTTTTCTTTTATCCACTCTGCTAGAGACAAAAGCAGTCTCAGGCCAAAGACATTCTCGGTGACCCAACTGGAAGAAAAGGTGCCAGAGGTTTTGTCCCTAGAAAGTTGCTTGCAGGCAGCCTCTTGGTGGTGAGTTTAACCCCCTGGCACATGTCAACTATCACATTTGTCGTACTGACGAGGTCCAATTGTGGTAACGGTAAGAAATGTACACGACTTGATGGACCGAAACATTTCTCCCCTTCCTCTTTTTTCAGTTCGCTTTCCTTCTGTTCTTTTTCTATCTCATTTTCTACCTTAGCTTTAAATTTATTTACTATCGAAACGGATGAACGAATCGTAAACTGTAGCTGTCTCACCGACAAAATCGAATCCATCATGAATTTAAATAAAAAATATTTTAAAACAGCAACTCTTGAGCATAACAAATTCGATTCAGGAAGAGATAAGCACTGACCTGAGCGTCACTTTTACCCTAATGTTAACAGGTTTCCAGCGTGTCATCGGTTCATTGACTGTTGGGCTGCAAAATCTTTCAAGAAATTCATCAAATTGGACACTTTCAGCACGCGTCTGCTCATGATTATTTTCCAAATGCTACGGCTACATGCTTTTAGACTTTTTCGCACTGTTGATTTATACAATAATTACTTGTATATATACATATGTATGTGTATAA